ATAAAGAAGATAAAGGATTAATAAACATAATAGAGTACAGAGTTCTTTTTTTGGGTAAATGATTTTTTTTTAAGTTTATTTATTTATTTTGAGAGAGAGTGAGCACAAGCTGGGGAAGGACAGAGAGAGAGACAGGGAGAGAAAGAGAATCCCAAGCAGGTTCTGTGCTTGATCCCATGAGCTGACCATGACTTCAGCAGAAATCAAGAGTCAGATGCTTAATCAACTGAGCCACACTTGCACCCTGATAATTTTTATCTTATCTAAGTGATCTTCTTCCATCTCTGGTTTTGAGAATATATGTTTAAAAAAGATGAAGAGGTAATTCACAGAAGACTAAATTGCTTACATTTACCAGTAGTCAGAGATCTGCAAACTAAAGATATGCAGGTATCACTTACATCCACTGACAGCAGAAAATTAAATAGTTACTGATAACTAATACTGTTTGGGATATGGGTTAACAGGTACTTTGCTACACCGCTGGTGAACTATAAACTGCAACAGCCTTTTCGAAAATCAAGCTGGACATAAGTAAATTAAATATAAAAATTAAATAATCACTTAAAAAAACATGTCACCCTTTGATCCAGCAATCACACTCCTGAGACTCTTCCATAAAAAGAAGAGATTTAGAACGTGTTTAAGTATGTTTAGTAAAACATCATTTAGAGGCTAAAATCTGGAAGCAAAGTAAATGCCTACCAATAGAAGAGTAACTGAATAAAAAACTACACATAAAAACAAATGTGTTCATGTGTCTACAGGAAATTCTCTGTAAGTACATACATGGCTGTATAAAAAAATTTTAAGTTCAAGGATAGACAAGTAGGGAGAATGGAAAAGAACCAGCTTTAGAGTCATCTCTGAGTTCAAATTCTGCCTCTATCATTTACTATGTGAATGATTATAAGCAAATTACTAAGCTTCACTGAACCTCTGTTTCTTCATTTCTAAAATGGAAATAGTAATTACCACTTCACAGGGATTTTCTTTGGATTTATGACATAATGGTTATAAAGTGTTTAATTCAGCATGTGACATATGTGCTCAAAAAGGGCAGCTACTACTATTTTTCCCTTCTTGAGATGAAAAAAAAAAATCTGAAGTTCTCACTTTAAAAAAACTTAAAACCTAAAAAATAAAAAACTTAAAAAAAAAAAAAAGGGAGAAGAGTGCCCTCAAACTCCACTGCTTTTAGAAATAAGAAACACCCTGGGGCGCCTGGGTGGCTCAGTCATTTAGGCGTCCAACTCTTGGTTTCAGCTCAGGTCATGATCTCATGGTTCATGGGTTAGAGCCCCATGTCAGGCTCTGTGCTGACAGTATGGAGCCTGCTTGGGATTCTGTCTCCCTTTCTCTCTGCCCTTCTCCTGCTTGCACACGCACGCTCTCTTTCTCTCTCTCTTTCTCAAAATAAATAAATAAACATTAAAAAAATTTTTAGAAATAAGAAACACCTTCAAAATACACACATACCTATGTATTTTCTATTGCTGAAAGGTAACCTGTCCCTGGATTATAAAAGTCACATGGGAAAAACCCTACATATATCCCCTTATAAGACAAGCTTGATAATTAAAGCAAGGTGACGACAAAGATGTTCATCAATTCTATTTGCAAGGTAATGTTTTGGGGGGCTTCATTCTATAAATCTAGTCACTGTTTCCTGCCATAAATTTAGTCTATGAAGAAGCAAAACAAAACAAAACACCTCTAAAGTAATATTACATGCGAAATTTAAGAACATGAAGCATATACCTGGCAAAGAACCCATGTCCAGAATAAATTAAAAACTCCTAGAATTAGTAGTATATAAATATATATATATACACACATATATACATGTAAATATTATTGTCTATATACATATATTAACATATATAAACTTTGCTTTTTTAGTCCATTTGGACCGCCATAACAAAATACCACAGACAGGATGGCTTAAAAACAGCAGAAAGTTATTGCTTACAGTTTTGGAGGCTAGAAATCCAAGATCAGGGTGCCAACATGGTCAGGATCTGATGAAGGCCCTCTCCTTCACTGCAGACTGGTGACTTCTTGCTGTGCCCTCAAATGATGGAAGCTGGTGAGGGATCTTTTTAGAGCTTCTTTCATAAGGGCACTATTTGCTATCATGAGAGCTCTGTCCTCATGACCTAATCACCTCTCAAAAGCTTTACCTCCATCTTAAAAAATTTTTTTAGAGTATTTCTTATTTAAAAAAAGTTTTCTTTAATGTTAATTTATTTTTGAGAGAGAGACAGAGCACAAGTAGGGGAGGGGCAGAGAGGGAGACACAGAATCAGAAGCAGGCTCCAGGCTCTGAGCTGTCAGCACAGAGCCCAACATGGGATGCTTGAACTCACAAACCGCAAGATCATGACCTGAGCTGAAGTCGGATGCTTAACTGACTGAGCCACCCAGGTGCCCCACGTTTTTTTAAAGAGAGAGAGAGAGAGCGCGCACGCAGGTGAGTGGGAGAGACGGGCAGAAGGAGAGAGAGAGAATCTCAGTCTCCATGCTTAGTGTGGAACCTGACGTCAAAACCAAGAGTCGGACACTCAGTATACTGAGCCACCCAGGTGCCCCTCAAAGGCTCTACCTTCTGATACCATCACTTTGGAAATTAAATTTCACCACATGAATTTTGAGGGAGACAAACATTCACACCATAACATTTGCTAAATGCAAGAATGTTCATAGCAGGTTTGTTCACAATGGCTAAAACTGGAAAAGAACAAAGCAAAACCAAATACCTATAATAGCAGAATAGATTTTTTTCAAGTGAGCTTTATTTCTGCAATGGAATACTCTCTGCAATTAAAAAAATGAAAATAAAAAGAGAAAGACAGGCTCCTGATACACTCCCGAATTAGATGAACAAAAGAAGTCCCACTCAAACGGGTATGAGCTGCATTATTGTATGATTGCATTTAAATGAAGTTTAAGAATAATCAAAACTATGGCACAGAAACAGACACTCAGATCAATGGAACAGAATAGGAAACCCAGAAATAGACCTATAAACATATGGCCAACTAATCTTTGACAAAGCAGGAAAGAATATCCAATGGAAAAAAGACAGTCTCTTCAGCAAGTGGTGCTGGGAAACTGGACATGCAGAAAAATGAACCTGGACCACTTTCTTACATCATACACAAAAGTAAACTAAAAATGGATGAAAGACCTCAATGTAAGACAGGAAACCATCAAAATGCTCGAAGAGAAAGCAGGCAAAAACCTCTTTGACCTTGGCTGCAGCAACTTCTTACTCAAGTCTCTGGAGGCAAGGGAAACAAAAGCAAAAATGAACTATCGGGACCTCATCAAAATAAAAAGCTTCTGCACAGCGAAGGAAACAATCAGCAAAACTAAAAGGCAACTGATGGAATGGGAGGAGGTATTTGCAAACGATGTATCTGATAAAGGGTTACTATCCGAAATCTGTAAAGAACTTATCAAACTCAACACCCAAAAAAAACAAATAATCCAGTGAAGAAACGGACAAAAGACATGAATGGACACTTCTCCAAAGAAGACATCCAGATGGCCAACCGACACGTGAAAAAATGCTCAATGTCACTCATCATCAGGAAAATACAAATAAAGCCACAATGAGATACCACCTCACACCTGTCAGAATGGCTAACATTAACAACTCATGCAACAACAGATGTTGGCAAGGATGTGGAGAAAGAGGATCTCTTTTGCATTGTTGGTGGGAATGCAAGCTGGTGCAGCCACTCTGGAAAACAGTATGGAGGTTCCTCAAAAAATTAAAAATAGAACTACCCTACGACCTGGCAACTGCACTACTAGGTATTTATCCAAGGGATACAGGTACGCTGTTTTGAAGAGGCACATGCACCCCAGTGTTTACAGGAGCACTATCAAAAATAGCCAAAGTATGGAAAGAGCCCAAATGTCCTTCGACTGATGAATAGATAAAGAAGATGTGGTATATATATACAATGGAGTATTACTCGGCAATCAATAGGTTTCACCTCCTAGCTCCTGTACTGTGGTTTTGACAGGCACTCAATTAATGCTGTTTGAATAGTTACAGCAACAATGGAAAAAAATCAGAATATTAGTTCTCGAAAGAAAAAACATCTGTCTAGAAATAAAATGAGAAGAACACGAATATTGTCATCAAATAAAAGTCATTTTCTGGTAAGAGGTCCAATTTCATGTTCAAATGTTGTTCTTCCCCATAAGATTTTTTTACAGTAAGAGTTTTATGGAGATATTATTCATCGAAGGTTTTAATATATTTTTAAAAGAAGTCCCACCTTTTGTCATACTAAAAAATTCTTAGGTATTATTCAGGGTTCTGAGCAATTCATTCATAACCCAGGTTTGGGAATGGAGAAACTGCTTTCCAAAGAGAAATACTTCAAGAGTGTGAGAAAATAAAAACAAAAATGAAAACCAATGAGATGGGCACAAAGGCATGAAGCATCACTTAATATTGAAGAAAATTAAATTCTTGTATGCTATTCAAGAATAGTTTTTGCTGTTTTGCTTGCAAAACCTTAAGGAATGCATGAACTTGAGAGGGAATACTATAAAAAATGAGAATTCTTCATTTTAGAGGAATGAGCTAAAAGGGACTCCAGTATAAGAGAACAAAAATCATGTTCTTCCTATTGTAGAAACTAGAACTAGGCCTTACCTAGAAAAAGCACATTTCTGTGAAGTGTGAAAACAATTAAAATAAACAAAAAACAGTGTTTCATATTGCATGGCACAAATGATCTGACTGAACATGCAATTATGGACAAAAAGGATTTAGATACACAATGAACAGAGGCCATCCTCTGCCTCCAAGGTGAAGTCAGTCAAGGAAGAAAAACCTTTTTCCTTTTCTTTTTGTGCCAACACGAGAAACAACTTTTGGGCTGTTGTATAAAATTGAAATCAAATAGCCACAATAATCTTTTCATAACAAATTTCTAAAAGGATTAAATGCTGAGGCTGAATTATCAGCCCCTTACCTTTGTAATGAGAATTCGGTATTTTTCTACCAGGTGGTCATTGTTGTGACAACCTGCTAGCAGTTGCCAGACTTCTCCTCGCAGAGCTTCAGGAACACCACTTCTTACTAAGGACGACAACTGCTTTGGTCTCACACTCAAATTGAGATGCCTAAAAAGAAAGCCATAATCTGTAAGCACATTAAAGATTCTCTAAAGAGTGTTTTTTTTTTCTTTTTTAAGATCTTGTTTTTAAGTACTCTCTACACCCAACGTGGGGCTCAAACTCACAACCCCAAGATCAAGAGTTGTGCATTCCACCATCTGAACCAGCCAGGAGCCCCTAAAGAGTATTATTTTTATGAAAACTAAACTAAAAGGTTTTTAAAGACTTAATAAAGGTAACATACTAATAAAGAAAAAAAGTATTGAATTAGATGTGGCCAAGATAACTGTAAAAGATTGGGTGGAGGAAAGAATTGTGCAGCTAGACTGTTTTGTAAGTATCTTTAAATTACTGCTGTACTTAAAAAAATTTTTTTAATAAAAATCAAGGGGCGCCTGGGTGGCTCAGTCGGTTGAGCATCCAACTTTGGCTCAGCTCATGATCTCGCGGTCTATGAGTTTGAGCCCCGCATCAGGCTCTGTGTTCACAGCTCAGAGTCTGGAGCCTCCTTCGGATTCTGTGTCTCCCTCTCTCTCTCTCTGCCCCTCCCCCGCTCATGCTCTGTCTCTCTCTCTCTCTCTCTAAAATTAATAAACATTAAAAAAGAATTTAAAAAAATCAAAACTGGAAACCATAGTTTTATGGTTGTGGCTTATATAATAAAAACACAGCAAAATTCTAATCACTGGACATATACCCAAAGATAAGGGCTTGACCCTGCATCAAAATTCACAAGTGAATTAAATATTTATATGTTCTAAGTTAAAATAGTATTCTAAGTTAAAATAAATATTTAAATATAAAAATAAAACTTTCAGCGGCTTTTGATACCTTGCTTCAAGTAATACTTTTGAATGATTATGATGGATAAGGAAGTTTCGACTGTACTATTGTAACATCAAAATAAATTATTAAAGTCTTTGAGGTTCATTTATCTCATTTACAAAGTGGGGAAAATAAAACTTATCTTGAAATGTTGGTACCAATTTACAAAGCGGTTTGCATGAAATCTTATTCGATTCTCACAACCACCATGTGAGGTAGGTGGCTAGTATCTCCAGTTTTACAGATGGAGAAAGAAGTTCAGGGAAGTTGATTAAATGACTTAGGTAGTCCTCAAACTCTAAGACCTATGAATGCGCTGATATCATGGCTGCTTTGTGATTTGAGAGCTACCAATACTGAGTCAGTAAAGCAGGACTCTGATGTGAAATGGCTCCTGTGACTATCAAATTTAAACAGTAAGTTACTGATACAAAATGACCACTCTCAAAATACAAAAAGGACTCAGATTTTTCTCAAAACGTTTCTAGAATTCTACAGAATAAGGCACAGTATGTTTAAAAATGGTTAATTCTGTGATGCTAGTACCCTAATGTAGTAGCTATAGACAATTCAACATAGTTTTGTCTTTGCTTGGGAAAAAAAATTATATAAAAGTTGAAGGGTTGGGGGTAGAAAGAACAAAAGCAGTTGTTACTTAATTTAAAGATTGATGCACTATGGTCTGTGCACCAAATGTGGCCCACCGCCTGTTTCTATAAATCAACTTTTGTGGAGACAGCCTTTTTTGTTTATGTATCATCTATGACTGCTTTTGCCCTATAACAGCAGAGTTGAGTGGTCGTGAGAGAAATTACTGCACCACAAAGCCTAGTATTTATGACCTATATGTATCTATGGCCTAAATATATATGACCTGGCCCTTTACAGAAACAATAAACCTAACCCTAGGTTTATTTGCTAACCCTAGCTTAATTTATATTGGTAAATTATTTTCAGAATAATTTTGTCATTGATCATATTAACTTTATCTCAACATACTATTTTATACCAACATTAGTTATCTTCTGCACTAAGAGTCACGTTTAAATGAACTTGGAGAGTTAGAGCTCAAATGTACTGCTGCTAATACTGCCACTAAAATCTAATGTGGAATTAAATAAACAGGCTTTAGGATCAGACTTGCCTGTGTTAAAAATTCTAGGTCTGCCATTTACTAACTAAAATTGCTGACTAAATCTCTGAGCCAGTTTCCTCATCTGCATAAATGGATACTAGTTCATAAGGTTGTTGTAACTGAAATAAAACACAGAACTTAGCACAATGCCTGGCATATGGTAAATTTATTAATTCTTACTACCATTGTTACTAGTACAACATCCATTGTTTTTAATTTACAATAATCCTGAATGGCAATTTGAAAGACTTGTGTATTTTGTAAATGAAGAAAGAGACTCAGAAGAGTTAAGTGACTTGCCCAAGACCATACAGCTTGGAAGTAAAAGAGGTTGGATTTGAAGCCAGGTCTACTAGGCTCTAAAACTCCACAATATCGCCATGTTTCCTATGATGAAAAAAAGTGATGAAATGAATTAAAGAAAAAGACTGCATTATCATTTCTGAAGATATGACCCAAACCAGCAAAAACAGTTTTAAACGCCCTAAACAAAAATGTAAACTCAGTTAATATATTTGAGGAAATGGGACAAGGACGTAATTTAAAAAATTCAAAAACTGAAGAAACAAAACTTGTTAACAAAACAAATTCCAAACAACTGTATAAAACGCTGCTGAGTTCATCCAATAAAACCTAGAGTCTAAATGCTGTATCTAAATGATTTTAAATACAGTGTTATGTAACCATGTCAAGATTCAATTACATTTCTATTTTAGAGCAGAAACCTTTTTCTTCAGATGAAATGCCTGCCAGCAGCAGTCCAAACACTCCAAATTCACTGAACTGAAAATATAATTGTGACGAGAGCATCAGCAGGTCTGTCTCCTGACTGCTAAAGGAATATCAAATATAAATGAGAACTATATCCCAGGGGGGCTTTTGCAGAGTTCATTTATTAAAAGCACTTGTGTAAAGACAAACCATGCTTTGGTTTGCATTCTCCTCCTGTACACATTTGACATTTCCCAATGTGGAGCACGTTTCACCAGAAGTGTAAAGCTCTCGCACTGTGAGAGATGTGAGAGAGCTAGAAGCAGATGATGCCCATTTGTAGTCCCATTCCTTAAGGACACGGAAGATTTTTTAAATGCCGAAACATGGTTTTCTAAGAACAGAGTGAAAGGCTTCAACAGTTAAATTTTCTGAGAAAATCAGACCCCAAAGTAACAGGCCCACGGGGAACTCACATGACAATTCTAACAACCAGAAAGTCAGAAATTAGAGAAGTGCTCACATCACTTTTGAAGTTTTTTTCCCAGCATATACTGGCATCCTACAGAGAGGAAAAAGGAACTACATAAATGTCTCACCAACCTGACTTACCAGAGTGTCTCTGGTCTCAATAAATACCTGAAATTAGTGTGTCCTTTTCAGACAGTCTACAGGATAGTGCTTAACAATGTTGTCAAGCTATCTCTTGAGCACAGAATTTCTCTTGACAAGAAATTCCTGAATCTTACAAGTGTTCGTAGGAAAAGTAATTGTTAGAGCAGTCAATGTATACAGCACATTCAAAACACTCTGCTGTACATAACACAGATAAGGAAAAATCCCACCTGAGGCCTCTACTGTGGCTCTATGCATTGTGTAAGCATCCTCCAAACTTCCCTGATAAAGGTGTACTGTCTTAATTGTTGTGTATTATCTTTGTCAGTGGTTCCTAAGTGCATCAATAAAAAGGCCATCTTTCTTGATTTATTCCTTTCATATATTCCGTGTCTGGATTAATATTTTCTGCAGCAATGAGAATTTATTAGGTTTCTGATATTCTGAAAGTTGATTGCAGATATTCACTACTTACCCTTAAAACGGCTAAAAACAGAGATTCTAGAATACAAACCTCATATTTTGGTTTCTATGATACGTTCCAGAATTGAATAGTTCCAAAATTGAATACTGTAGTTAAGGGAAGATATCCGACCCAGAAAATGAGAATTACAGATGAAAAGGAGAACTATTCTAACTTACCATTTTGATAGCAGTTCTCCCCATGTTTCAAGAATTTTTCCTGCACATTCTTTGGATACATCACCAAATCCACTCAAGAGGGGTTCATCATTATCTTTAATAAAACACACAGAAAAGGATAACAAAAGTGGCTATGCTAGCCAGAAGAATGAATGGAAACATAACAGTCAAATTTGAAAGATTTTACTGGGAGGATGAAGTCATAATTTCTTTTAGCATATAAATGTAAATACAAAGAAAATGAAAATGGTCCTAGGTAGAATGTTGCTGTGATCTCTTTATTTCTTTAGCTTTCCATAGAGGTCCACATTATGTCAACTGAGGAAAAGAGCCATTTAATTATAAAATGGTAAAACTCAAATTATGGTATCTTCTTTTTCCTCTTCCAAAGCAAACAGCTTTATCTATGAAAATATGTACCAGTCTTATTTACAACAGTTAAAAAAATTTACAAACCACCTAAGTGTCCAACAGGAGTAGAGCAGAGAGCGGCTAGAGCGGCTAAATAAATTATGATACATGATGTTTACAATGTGATTACACACTGACATGTGTTTACATTACTAATCTGGCAAAATGCCACATAACGTAAAAATATCAAGAGCTGATAAGTCTTTGTTATGATCAAAACAGTCTGGAATAAATTATGCTAAGACATTAACAATTACTGTCTCTCAGTAACAGAGTTATAGTTTATTTCCCTCTTCCCCCTATGTTCTTATGACTAAATTTTCTACACTGACATACATTAATTTATAACAGAAAGTACAAAAATATCAAAAAGGATCAAAATGAATCATTTCAAACTGAACTCTAGTAATTAAGAAAAGTAAATTCAAATAAGAATTTAAAGACTATAAGATAGGAAGACAGTGAAAAAAAGGGACACTGATAAAGAAGGCCTGTGAAAGAATTTTTAGAAGTTATCATGAAGGGGGGGGGCGGGTGGGAAACATGGACTAAGACATTTACTTAATCTTCTTTTGTTGGACGCTTAGGTAGTTTTCCATTTTTTGCTACAAATAGTGTCAGGATGAATATATCTCTTGCTTTCATTGGGTATGTGCCCAGAAGTGGATCCTGGGCTAAAATGCATAATTTTAAGGATTCTGTAACTTACTGACAAATTGCCTTCCAGAATGGCTCTACAATTTACATTTCCACTGTTGAGTACAATGGTACTTGCTTACATGTGTCCTCACCAATGCTATTTCTAAGATTTTTGGCCTAACCTGCCTAAACAAAGTTTATACCTGTAATGATACCTGTAATGATCTTTATACCTGTAATGATTACATCATGAATTTGCATCTCAACTAGTGACAGCTCAGAAATCCATGATACTTATAACATCTGTACATTGTAATGCCTTAGACATTATCATCAGTTTTGATGGTAAGATAGGGAAGACGCAGACTGAGTGTAAGTGAGACCTCCTTTGGGACAAATGGGAGGATCAATAAGGAAAAGATAAATGCTCAAGGGCACGAAGATAAACTTCCCCAACTTCATTATTTTGTCAGAATTCACCCTACTTTCTAAGGTCTCACGTAATTCTCCACTCATTCAAATATCAATATAATACAACTCTCTGGGGAATAGTAGCCATAAAAAATGTACTAAGAGGTACAAGAGATGATAATTCCTTTAAAGAGATCAGGAATATCTGCCTTATCAAGTTGTCTTTTTCTGGTTTGGATGCTTTCAACATATGTGGACAGCAGTCTGAAATATGTGGTTACAACTCCATGTACCTAAGGCAGGGGTATGGGTAGAAAGGGAGCAGGCAACCTCAGATGCAGAATGTTGCTTCTGAACACCTCTCCTTTATATCTGCTGGCTTCCAGTCCTGGGAGCACCAATGTCCTATGGAATATGAAGCCTCTCTACAGGACCATGGACATTTCTTTCCAGGGAGCAAACACATGACAACAGGATGGGTCTCCTTGGTCCATATATTATGTTAGAGGATTAAAAGATGGCATGTCTGCACAGCTTTCTTCCGCAACATGGTCCTGTCATTAGTTTTTCACTATAGGAATGGATCGCAGCAGGGGTACCCATTCCACGAATATTTACTGAGCATCTATTACATACCAGGAATGGTGTTACACACTAGGGAAACAGCGTGGGCAAAAAAAAGATACACGTTCTTGCTTCCCAGAGCTTGTGTTCTAGTGTTCCCTCTCTCATGGTCCGCCATTGGCCCTCATGTCTCCTAGTTAGCAACTGTCACTGGAGGTCCTCTGAACTCCTCAGTTATACTGAAAAATGTATGCCTGCTATAGATTACAACTAGATGTTAGACACGATATTATCCTTCAGTTGGGCCCAAATTTCTCTGTAACCGGTAAATACTCTTTAAAATGCACAGCATTCAGATTCAGCATTTGACCATTCTCTGGTTTCATAAAAATAGAGTGTCTTTCTCAGTTTATGGTGGGTTTTACTTTTATTGCTGAGTTTAAGGGTAGAAGAGTTCTCCAAACTATTACTATTAGGTTGATTCCTAAAGTTTACCAGTGTGAAATCCAATAATGTATAAACATAAATTTGTATATTTAAATACATGTATTTTGTGAAAGGATCATGTGTGGAAGCCACATTTTGGCAAATGAAACTGTCCCTCTAAAATAAATCAGCAGAGATAGGAACACGTATTCAGGTAGAATCTATGTCACATGTGCTCTAAAAATGTGCTAATATACTAAGATAGCATAGGCAGACTCTTTAAAAAAGCACTGACCATAAATCTCATTTTTTCCAAACTGATGCAATTATCTTAAAGAATGTCCTATATTCACCATTTTTGAATCTCCCATACTCCTTTGCATATAGTACACTCTCATACGCATTGAAAGAATTCCAAATGCTACGTCACATTATCAATTCCCTGACAAAATGATAATGGTTTGCATGGTTTGCCACCCCAAAATAGAAATTAAGGTCTCCCTACAATTTACCTTCCTCTTCATCATCTTCTGGAGGAGAAGGTATCATGGAACTCTGAGATCCAGACTGTGGCAGGCGAATTGAGGGACTGGCTGTAGTTTTCCTCCTCTCTCTTTCTGATTCACTTTCCAAGCACACAACTTCATATAAAGTATCAGTATTGTTCTTTCTTTCCTTCTGCTTTATCTTGAAGACGAAAAAATATTATTTACTAAGTGGTAAAATTATTTTTTAATTGAGCACTACACTTCTGATTTCATATAGGATGTGAGAATAAAAAGGTATCACTTTGAATGTCTACACTAAATGTAACCTTTTCTAAATAGAAAAATACATGTTTGGATTTAAAAACCCATAGGAAAATAGGTTATTTACTGGGCGGGACTCTTGCTCTGCAATTGTATTGTCTTCATACTGTATCATCATATATGCAATTGCCAATATCCTGTAAGCGTTAACCATCTATAGCTTCCTTGTTACTTTAAGGTGTCCTTTAAAGTTTCTTATATGAAACTATCCATCAAAAAAATGTTTAAAAATATTTTAGGGGCGCCTGGGTGGCTCAATAAGTTAAGCATCCAATTTGTGATTTCAGCTCAGGTCATGATCTCATGGTCCTGAGTCTGAGCCCCGTGTTGGGCTCTGTGCTGACAGTGTGGAGACTGCTTGGTAGGATTCTCTCTTTCAAAATCAACAAACAAAAAAAAATTCTAGGGGTGCCTGGGTAGCTCAGTTGGTTAAGGTTCCAACTTCGGCTCAGGTCATGATCTCACAGCTTGTGAGTTTGAGCTCCCCATTGGGCTCTGTGCTGACACCTCAGAGCCTTGAGCTTGCTTCGTTTTCTGGGTCTCCATCTCTCTCTGCTCCTCCCCCGCTTGCACTCATTTGCGCTCTCTCTCTCTCTAAAATAAACAAACATTAAAACAAAATTTTTTTTTTAATTCTAAAACAAAGTTTAGGACTAAGAGAGTCCTCTTATTCCCATGTTTCTTCCCACTCCTTTAGCTTATTAATTAAAGCACTGTAGGAACTTTTCTTCCAGTGAAAGCTACAACTGGGGGGGAGGGTAAAGGTGGGCAACAAAAAAAGAGATTAATTCACAAAAATCTTATATCTCAAATTAGTTTGTATTTTGAGGCAAACGTATAGCAGTTTGAACTCACCTAAATTAAAAATTAAGGACAGAGAATATAAAACTTTGCCAGTACCAAATTTAAATATATTAATAGTCCACATTACAGACAGTTTTAAGGAGAAGGAGGAGGGAAAAAGCGAAATACAGAGCAGGAAGAAAAGGCAGAACTGTAGGGAAAGATACAAAAATAACTCTCAAGGTGGCTACACCAATGAGAAAGATGTACAAGCATAAAGTAAAAATACAGAAAGGGGATTAAAAGGTTCATAAGGTACAGAAATGCCTGCTTAATATAGAAGTCAGTAAAATTTTCTGTAAAGGGCCGAAGAATAAATATTTTAGTCTCTGGGCACCACTAGTCTGTGGCAACTATTCAACTCTACCGTTATGGTACAAAAGCACCCACAGATACTGAGTAAGGTGACCATGGCTGCATTCCAAAGAAACTTTATGAAAACAAAGGCCAGGCCAGACTTGACCCATGGACTGTAGTTTGACAACTTTGTTTTAACAGGTCTACCTAAGGATTATTTAATTTTCTAGATGAATAAACAATTTTGACTTAGCTACTTACTATTAATTAAAAACCCAGACTCTGGGAAGTTATATATTAGCCTACAAATTTGTATCTGGTAGATGGGCAAATGATTTCTGCCCAGTAGAAAAGATAACCCAAAGTTAATCTATAAGACATTAACCAGTTTTGTTTCTAACCTAGCAATCTTGTTCTAATACTTTTTTTTTTAAAGAAGCACTATATAAACTCAAGTTCCTCAAATACATAAAGCCAGTTTTACCATCTTACTGGTCCTCTCGTTACTTAATGAACTGAACTAAAATCTATGACACATGTTCAATCTAAATTTCTAATTATTTTTAAGTATTATACTTTGATAGGGAATAGGATTTTTTTTGATTTGTTACAAATTACTATCTGAAACATTAAATACTACATAAAAAAGTTCAAAGATCAATAGCTCTTTACCTTTAAAAAAAATTTCTCAGAGACTATATAAATGTGATAACCATTGCAGTTCACCTAGAAACTCTTCTGTGAATAACACTGACCAGACCAACACTGCCCTTTGAAGTCAGATAAACATAGTCATGAAATGAACCTTGCTTATAAGTCAAGAATTCCAGCTATTAAAAATGATACTCATTATTGAAGCTGGGAAATAATATGTGGGGGTTTATTACACTATTATTTTTATTTCTGTGTACATTTGAATTTTCTGTAATAAACAACTTTTAAAAAAGCACTCTTGTAAGAAAAACACAGACTTGAATAAATGGAACAATATCACGGGTTCTCAGGTAAGATGACTAAACATCATAAAGATGTCAATTCTCTTCAGTAAAAATACCTATCCTTTTTTTCTAGAGCTACAGAATTTGAATCTAAAGTTTACATGAAAAATAAACAAAATCCACAAAAGAACTGGGGAGGGAGGGCAGCCCTATCAGATATTAAAACATATTATAAAGTCTACATAATTTAAAGGGTGATATTGGTGCATGAGTAACCTAAAAACCCCATAGAATAGAACGTAAAAACCATAATGAAGAGAACATAATAAAACACGGTAAACATAACATTAAAAAAGTGTATGGTCATTTGGAAAAACATTAAATCAGATTTATACTTTACATCATATAACAGAATAAAATACTAATGAATCAGAGCTCTAAAAGTAGAAAAATGAAACCATATAAGTAATAGAAGAAAATGTGTAAATTTCTTTATTATTGGATGTATGGAAAGCATTTCTAATTATAACTTAAAAGCCAGAAGCTTTAAAGGAAAAATTCGGTGAATTCAAATACAGGAAAAGAAACTATACAGTCAAAAAGCTGAAAAGATTCATCATAACTTAAGTCAAGTGACAAACCAGAACAAATGTTTGCAACTTATATCTCAAAGGGTTAATCTCTCAACTACAGAAAGAGCTTCTAACAACTAAGAGAAAAAAGGCCAAAACCAAAAAGCAAAAAATATGAAGAGACAGTTCAGAGAACAGGAAAGTAAAATCAATCCTAAACATATGAAAAATGCTGGTTTTCATTCATCAAAGGATAAATTAAAACTACCATCAGATCCTTAAGTTTGACAATATACTCATGACAAACATATGGAGAAACAGGTATTCTCATATCCTGCTCATCTCTGATTACAACTGTGAAAGAGGAGAATTTGGCAAATATGACAAAATTACATACACAAAATTATGTCATGTGCTAATGAGTATACTAATAAAAATTTCCTCTAAGATGCAGTTTCATAAAATCAAAACAACGTATGATACAAGGTTCTATACTGCAACATTATTTGGAATAGCAAATGATTGAAAAAAAATCCATCAATAGAGGACAATTTAAAAATCAGAGATCATGGAGCATCTGGGTGGCTCAGTCGGTTGAGTGTCTGACTTTGGCTCAGGTCATGGTCTCACAGTTCGTAGGTTCGAGCCCTGCATCAGGCTCTGTACTGACAGCTTGAAGCCTTGAGCCTCTTTGGATTCTGTATCTCCCTCTCTCTCTGCCCCTCCCCTTCTCTCTCTCTCTCTCTCTCTCTCTCTCTCTCTCTCTCTCAAAAATGAATAAATGTTAAAAATCAAAGATCATGATTCACCCGAACAACACAGTACCATGTAGTCATTAAGAATGAGGAAGATCTCTGTGAACTACTGTGGAATGATCATCAGGATATATTAAAAAAGCAAGGGGTAGAACAGTACATGTTAGTTTCTGTTTAAAAAGGAAGTTAAAAATATGTAGGAGTATTTCACTATTTTCACAAAAAGAAACTTTGGAAAGATAACCCAGAAACCAATAATAATGGTTACTTATGGGATTGGGTGGAGAAACAGATGAATGTAAATATGACTGCTGAGTACATTTTTACATAATTTTGACTTTTGTACCATTATATTTAAATATTCAAAAAAAACCAAATTAAACCAAAAAGGTAAAAAAATACCCAACAACCCCAAATTGAAAATATGGAAACCAATGAACCTAACTATATGTCAAGTGGTAACATAAATGAGAAAAAAAATTCCAATTAACTTCTGAACCTGTGTTCAGAAACTGATTTCATAATATTACTAGAATAGTTCAAAGGGAAAAAATAGTTCAATAAAATCTTAAACTTCACTCAATAGTTTTATTATTAATTGGAGTACTGATTTCTTTTTGAAATGAATATCAACAAATGGGAATTTGAAACTGTGTGGACTCAAATAATTTCATATTATATACATCTATTTTTATGTAATACATAGGTACTACAATTACATTAATAGATATTTCTCCCAAAATTTATGCATCTATAGAAAAGTTCAGAATATACTAAATATTCTGAAAACCTTTTCATTTAAGAGGTTACATAGTGATTTTTATATACGGATATTAAAATATAGGTTTTATCTACAATAGTAAAAAACTTGTACACAATGCAAGTTGTACACAAATCGCAGTTTAACACAAGCTAGATTTTATTTTATTTTATTTATTTATTTTTTTTTAAAGACTCACGGGACAACTCAGGTTTTTATTTTTTTTTTTTAATTTTTTTTTTTAAACATTTATTTATTTTTGGAACAGAGAGAGACAGAGCATGAAAGGGGGAGGGGCAGAGAGAGAGGGAGACACAGAATCGGAAACAGGCTCCAGGCTCTGAGCCATCAGCCCAGAGCCCGACGCGGGGCTCGAACTCACGGACCGCGAGATCGTGACCTGGCTGAAGTCGGACGCTTAACCGACTGCGCCACCCAGGCGCCCCACAAGCTAGATTTTAGAAATGATGCAAGTTTACGGGCGCCTGGGTGGCTCAGTCAGTTGGCCATCTGACTTCGGCTCAGGTCATGATCTCATGGTCCGTGAGTTCTAGCCCCATGTCGGGCTCTGAGCTGACTCCCTCTCTGCCCCTCCCCTGCTCATGCTCTGTCTCTATCTCAAAAATAAACATTAAAACAAAAATTAAAAAAAAAAAAAAAAGAAATGGTGCACGTTTATTAATGAATGCTTAATTACCTCATCAGTAAATTTA